AGTGCGTTGATTCGACTCAGTGTCATGAGGACAACTTCGATTTGCATCTTCGACAAGATTGTACTGCAGGAAGATTTCATGGATGGAAGGACTTTCAAATTGTACGAACTGATTACCAAGTAGGAGCTGTAAGCTCTAAGACATCAGTCTGTTAATCATCTCCAGTCCATGTATGTTCCTTATTGGACTTGATTCAGTGTCTGCTCTTCGATTCTATGAGACACGACTTGCACACTGTCATCAAACTTAGTGATGGTTAACAATCTGCTAGAACATATGGATACTGACTTCTTTCGGTTTGTTGACTATATATACATTATGTAACACTTCTTTCACGTACTCACCTGAAGTGCATCGAAAAGTCCTGTTTTCTGGCCCTTATCCCGTTAATAGAAAACTCTCAAATTGCCCAGGTAACCTCTGCCGATTTGGCAGGTATTTTGGGCAGGCTAACCGTGGACGTCCTAGGAGGTAGAGAACGATTGCTTGGATGATGGTGATGAGTAGCACGGGAGGCTGGTACATTTTTCCTAATTCTCGGTGTGTTCTTGGTATTCTCCAATTCCTGATTTTTTTGTAGAATCTCCCACGACACGGTGGATCCTACATTTGGTGGTGGCTCAACATCCCTTCGGTTCCTGATGTCCATCTCGATCTCATTTCTGAAGTTTTGAAGCTGCCTTGCATGTCGAGGACTTATAAGATTATTCTCCCGCAAATCGAAGAAGACCATCTTGTGGTTGTTGATGTCCGCCTCAACCTCCTGTCTAGCAGAACGAGTACCAGATTCCGAGATTTTCCTCTTCTTGAGGGCATCGATCGTACGGCAACCCGTCTTAGACAGGTCATCGTAGATCATCTTTGCAAGCTCCCGCCTCATCACGGTACTATATTCAGCTTCTGGATCCTTCCTGTAATCACATCGTCTGTTATTTCTACGTATCCTGCCAGGTTTGAGGTCGAACCATGAAAAAAATTAGTCATAGTTTACAACTATGACTAAACTTATTCATAACTAAAGTTATGAACAAGTTTTGAGCATTGGATGGGATTTGACTGAGACGATAGCAATCGTAAGGATTTCGTAGACATAACAGCCGGTTGAGTTTATGTCCACCGGGTTACATTTCCTAAACAAGATGAATACAGTCCCCGAAACCAAACTGAACTTGTTCATAACTACATCCCATCCATCCTCAAACATTCAACTTTCGCTGACTTTCCTGTGAGTGCAGTTGACACTCGCCTGGCCTTACAACTCCCTCATTTTATCTACAGGCCGCTGATTGATTGCTGGCCTATTGCCAAAACATCTGTCAGTCGATAAAAGATGTATCAAACACCAAAGGTATCTCGTTGGTGCTGAGGTAGGACTCGGAAGGTCATCGATGTCATCAAGCTTTCTTTCTCATTTATTTGACTTACCTCACAGGCCAACCTCCGGACCACACAATGATTTACATCCGGCCTCCGCCGCCTTGAGGTCGCTGGAATAGCCCGTCGTCCCCACGAGACCATGTGGCTCATGTCAACCTTTTTCTACAGTGCTCGCAGAACCGACATGTTTTTAAACTAAGAAGACAAACCTGACAGTGAGAGAAACCCCGGAAACCTTAGCCACAAGTTCATGTGTGCATGTCCGAGCTTTCTAAAAGCGTCTGGGAGCCACTTCTCCTGCGTGTCCCTTCAACGAGGCTGGACTAGCTCATACCGACATCAGTTGAGCCTCCCTGGCAAAATTCACAGCCTTGGCGTATCAGGATGATTCAGTCGCAGGTCACCATCGTCAAATCTATTTTCAGCTATTTCTGTAAGTCAGATTTCTTGGAACTTGAGTTGTCCATGTTTGCTAGGTTCCATCCAAATCTTGAACCACAAGAGCTCAATGAAATCTGAAATATGTTCTATGGCTGGATCTCATTGCTGGCAGCAGTCTTGGTGTTCTCTCTCTCTCTCTCTCTGACCTGAACGTAGAGTTGTTCGAGGGACACAACCTTTCTCCGGTCTGAGCACACGGTGAACAGAGTCTGGCCAGTGGAAAAAGAACAAATCGAGGCCATCGACCGTCATCCCGACACTAGTTGCCATAAGTTGACCCTCAGCTAGAAACCTATTTCCAACACCAATCCTCAGTGGAAGGCCAGTACATTGCGTCTGTCGAAAGCGTTTAGCTTTTTGCTGCCTGACAAGCTCGTCCTCGAATTCGCTGCATACTTCAAAATATTGCTTGCGTATTCCTGGACCCACATTTGTAGATCATGACCTGAATCAGCCCGTGAGGCCAGCTGGGTTATGGTCAATCTGCTTTCTTACCTGTCCGATGGTCCCAGCCGACGACGTTCTGATTCATGATATTCTCAGAAAATTTGATCTGCGTACTTCGTCAGCCGTACCGCAACTCAATTCAACAGGTACTGGCACAGCCAGCGTTCTGTGCAGATGCTACATGTAGCACGTTACCTTTTCTCCTACGGCTTCCGTCTGCAAATTCGAGTATGGTACTACGACATAGAGGCTGACGGTCAAAGACAGGTATGACCTCGTTCGGAATGGACAGCAGTTGTTTATTGTCATTTTCATTGCAAATTGGTTCGCTTATATTTATGCAGATTCACCCATACACTCCAATCAATAAGGTTTAGGTCGGGCATGACCGAATGAATTTCTTGAAGTTGGCACTTTAAATCAGACAAGAAACTCGATGAAGGAATATAACAAACCTTTTCATGCACGAAGAAACTCGAGGAAGGAGTATAACAAACCTTTTCGTGCACGAAGATCGACGAATTTGCGACGTTCCTAGGGCAAAGCTTACCTTCGTTATGTTCACAGAAAATGCGCTTTTGATAAACGGGGCTTGATGCAGCTTGCACTTTTGGCAGAAGTTGTGATTTAGAGGTAGGTTTGTTTTGAAGATGGTATAGATTGTATTGTGAAGTTAAAGTTGAATGCCCAACCTCGTCGTGTAAATAAGTCTTTCTCGACCAAGGGTTGTAGCTAAAGGGCGCGCAAATGGAATTCAAAACCTCGTGACTTGCTTAAGCACCCACAGAGATTGGTGGTACATACACCGTCCCTGCACAGTAGCGGAAACCTCAATCTGAATAGAGTGCAATCCTCCACTGTACCTCTGTCGCAACCACCCAACCTCTGTGCAAAGCCGTGTGATGGTCGAGTTCCAAAAGGCACGTATACAGCAAAAGTACAGCCATGTCTCAGAGCAGTTCTACGAAAAGCCCGACTAAGGCTCTCTCATGATCACGATCATGCTCTTTCGCGCACCTACCCTAGAACGGGAAGAAAAGGTCAAATGAGGAGGGACAGTGCGAGATGACCTCCATCTCGAAAATTCTCAAGACATTCTCTTAAGAAGCCTTAGCACAATGAGGGACAGTTTCTCCAGTGGCCGACTTGGTGCACAAATTTCACGACACCGAGGAGGTTCTGATCCAGGGATTCACGCTCATGGTGGCCTAGGCCGGACGTGACGGTGGTGCTCGGACGTTCGGTGCACCGAATTCTCGGGGGCTACTCGGGAATTCGGTGGTCCATCCTGCAGACGTTGCAGACATTCCTCGGCAAGCGCATCGACGGGCCGCCCCGAATCCAAAGCCGCAACCGAGACCGGCAACGTCGTGACGGCGCACGACGCTCTGAAGCTCGTCTGCAACACAAGGATGGCCTGGCGGCCACGTGCTGGCGCTCGCCGCCGAGGTGGCGCTTCGCCTCGATTTGATTCGGTAACGACAGCGCGCTCATTGACGTGGCCCGCGACCGGGCCGTCCACGGTGGCAACTTCCAGGGGACGCCCATTGACGTGGCGATGGACAACCTGCGCCGATGTCTGGTCGCCCACGGTCTCGGCGACGCGAGCAACGATCAGAGCAGCAGCATCTTCAGCCGGATCTCCGTGCTCGAGCAGCAGGTGCAGATCGAGCTCGAATTGCCGATTGCCGGAACTCTATTGTCGATCTTGAGCAAGTGAGGCTATTCTATTGCTACTTATGGGTGCATAATCTTGAATACGGTTTGAAATCATTTTGATTCATACGTAGAAACTGCATCCCTACAAAAATAATTCGAAGCTGGAGACTGCGGTAATGCGGTTTATATGGAGTTTAACAAATTGGGAGCCAAATACATCCACGGTTGGATGTTGCAATTTGATTCAGTCCATGTAATGAACCACATTGCACAAGGAAATCAAAGTCAAACATAGCAATTGTGACATCTACAGAGTGAGCAAGGGTGTCAACGCTGTTGGAACAGGGTTTATGTCGGTTTGAAGTAGAAGCCATAGGAGACATGAAATCCATCGGTCGGCAATCGTTGTCAGTGCGAGGGAATCTACAACAGGATTGTACAAGGAGTAGAGCGCAGAGTGAAGGTGGGAGTTGATGCAGATGCCTTCCACTATTCGAATGTAAGACAGTCGCGATGACGATAACAGCGCAAGAAGTGGGAAGGAGCGATCCTTGATTGGTTACGTTTTGGTCAAATTCTCTAGTGAAAATTGTCAAATCGAAGAACACTCTTCAAATCGTGACCGAGTTAGATAATTAGGTGTAAATAGACCACTTCACCTCATAAGAATACGAGCAAACTCTTGGTTATTTCAGGAAGCATCGTGAAACAACTGCACTCCTGCGATCCTTTGTGTAACTTTGTCGTTCCAATGATGAATTGGTCTGGAAACTGGAGGCGAGGTGAGTAGAGACCCAGCATAAACTTACGTTGGAGGGCTCGCATGATTCGGAGCAATCTTCTTCGAACTTGCAGGAGCTAGAAGTAGATTTCCTAACTGAAGCTCTGGCGATTTGTTTCCGAGTGCAGAGTTCTGAATCTAAACTCAACCTACGGAAAAGACTGTGACTCGACTGAAGTACACGGGAAGCTAAGAGAGTCAATTGGACACGAAAGCAGGAGAACACAAAATCCAAAGCCAAGTACACAAGCACACTCAGAGCAACCTCCAGACGAGTTAGATGCTACTGAGAGATAAAGCAAAATACCCACGACGTTCATCTGGATGACATGACAGCGTCCAATTTGGCACCAAAGGCCAGATTACTGTGGTTCACCACTTTGAATCTTCACCAAGACTCAACTCCGACGCTTACGAATAGAGCGCTCTTTTCTCTGCCAACCTTCACTCCGCTGCTTTCATCACTCCTTTGCAGAACTGTACAATTGGGACCCCACTATAGATCGAAGAGCCATAGCCATCCGAACACAGAAATCCCAAAACTTCCGCCCCACTAACAACTCTCAGTTGATCCCCGGGATAGGCCCATCTCGCGAATTCAAGTTCAGTTGCGGATCGAAGGCTCCAACATCCATGCCCAATGCAAAGTGATCCTCACGTAACAGGCACCGTCCACTGCTGAAGAAACAGAGGCAAATCAACTCGATTGCTCCGGCCTCAGTCTAAAGGCCAAAACCGAACTTGAATTTTCCTCTACCAGTTCCTTGCACATTACAATCGAGCGATTCCCTCACCTGCACTTCCAAACTACAACTAGATTACAATCTCACGAGAACCTTGATTACGTCCGCAAAACTTCTCCCGTCCTCCAAATCACCAAATTATGGTCAATTGCGACCAAGTGGAAAGATCGCACCACCACTCACTGAACTACTTTCGAACATGAACAAAACTAAAACTTGAGTTCTTCTAGTGAAATTGACCTATTTTTCCATACTAGAAAACATGTGAATATTGATTGGTAACATAACCTTCACAACCACTCCAAAAAAGACTCCACGTGAAGTTGTTCTACTCCAAACGCTACGCTCCGCTCGAATAACTCAAGGGCGAACATCTCTTCATATCATCCTTCTTCCTCGAATGCGTACTTCGGTGCTCTTCGGAACCCCGAAGTAGTTAAGAAAGGGACACTCTATGATGTCCAATCTGGACAGGTTGGCCAGATTGCCGAACGATTCCGGGACTTTTTGGATGATGGTGCCGCCCTGCATCGTCAAGTGCGACAACTGTGAAAGCTGCCCAAAAGTATCCGGCAAGGCTTGGAGTCTCAACATATGCCTGAGAGCTTCAGGATCTGCAGACTAGCGAGACGGCCGAAGCTCTTAGGCAGCTCTGAGATTTCACTCCCATTTATTATCAAGGTTTGTAGCTGGGACAGATTTCCGAAGCTCTCAGGCAGTTTTGAGATTTTACTCCCCCATATTGTCAGGGTTTGTAGCTGGGACAGATTTCCGAAGCTCTCAGGCAGTTTTGAGATATCACTCCCATATATTGTCAGGGTTTGTAGCTGGGACAGATTTCCGAAGCTCTCAGGCAGTTTTGAGATATCACTCCCATATATTCTCAGGCTTTGTAGCTGGGACAGATTTCCGAAGCTCTCAGGCAGTTTTGAGATATCACTCCCATATATTTTCAGGGTTTGTAGCTGGGACAGATTTCCGAAGCTCTCAGGCAGTTCTAAGATTGGACTCTCATATATTACCAGGCTTTGTAGCTGGGACAGATTTCCGAAGCTCTCAGGCAGTTCTGAGATTGGACTCTCATGTATTTCCAGGCTTTGTAGCTGGGACAGATTTCCGAAGCTCTCAGGCAGTTTTGAGATATCACTCACACTTATTTCCAGGCTTTGTAGCTGGGACAGATTTCCGAAGCTCTCAGGCAGTTTTGAGAAATCTTTCCCACTTATTTCCAGGCTTTGTAGCTGGGACAGATTTCCGAAGCTCTCAGGCAGTTTTGAGATTTTCGCTCTCTTTATTATCAGGCTTTCTAGCTTGAACAGATTTCCGAAGCTGTCCGGCAATGCTTCCAACCTCCAACACCAACGAAGTTCCAAAGATCGCAGTTGTGAGAGCCATCCGAAAGCTTTCGGGAGTGAACGAAGTCTATTGCACTCTTCAAATGTAAGATGACGAAGCCTGGAAAGTTGTCCGAATGCTTCGGGAAGACCTTCGAAGAGGCAGCCTGCGAATTTCATAACTTCAAGGTTTTGAAAGTCACTGACGGTTGTTGGCAAACATGTGAGCGGTGCCGTCAAGTCCAGAACAGCCAAACTTCTCGCGAGCCCTCGGTCTACCAGGTCATGAAGATTGTTCACTTCTCCACGGAGTCTAAGAAGGGTCAGATTCTTCGGAAGCTTGCCACCTACTTCATTCAACATCAACTCCTTGGAATCCAAATATTTCAGCTTCTTCATCTGGCCAATATCTCTCGAGTCGAGGAGCATCGAGTGTTCAAGTCGTAGCGCTATGACCTCCTGCACCAAAACACCCAGGGCCTAGTTCACATCCCAGGCCACAAATATAGTCCATGATCTAAACTTGACCTACCAGACTTGTAGCATTTCATTTGATCAGGGCCATCTAGTCTTCAGGTTCAAAGTCAATGACATCCTTAACAGGAAAGTCCAAATTGAGTGAGGAGGAGCATCCGTTAGAGAACACATGCTCAACAGAAACCAGGTATTTGACAATGACATCCTTAACAGGAAAGTCCAAATTGAGTGAGGAGGAGCATCCGTTAGAGATCAGAGGCTCAACAGAAACCAGGTATTTGACAACTTTGTTCGTATGTTAGCTATGATGCTCGGGGACAGATTGCCAACAAGACGCTGCTCGTTTCAAAGTCCAGATAGGGTCAGGATGAGCAAACCTAGTAACGCGGTGTAGAGACTATATAACGTGATGAATATCCGGACAGCAAGATAAAGAGAGAAAGTGCACTATCAATGACATAATGAAAGTAAAGTTGTTTGATCCCTAAGGGAATTTCTAGGAGCAGCAAAACCAGTGCGTTGATTGTTTTGAATTACGTTTAAGAAGGAAAGGCTGCGACTTTATAAAATTATATCGCTGATTTTTCATAGAAGCACGCTGACTAACAATGAAGTGTTTCGAAAGACATTTATGTAGGAAATGTAGAGGATCTACTAAGACAATTTCTTGGGTTTAAGAAAGCAGTACGTTGACCAACAGGAAGGGCAGGGAAGCTTTGGAACAGTCGTGTACAAGAAGTCAATCAAAAAGTTCAGCAAAAAAAACCCGACCGAACAATGACGTGACTCAGTTGACGTGAATTTTAATGATCTACAACAACAACCGATATCTGACATGGGAGTACTATAGAGAGGAGACGGGACCTTGAAAGTCAGAGTTACATAATCTCGTACCTCAATATGTGTTGCCATACCCGTGCTTGATGAGCTTGGATCATTGGAATAGAACTGTCCTTCTGCAATCCTATCATTGTAGTTTGAAGAATTAAACCTTGAAGGGACATTTTTATGAGTCCAAGTCCTACATCTGCCACCTGTTCCCCATCCTGAAGCCAGTCTAATTCCCAGAGACCTCAATTGCTCATGCATTTGTATACTTTCCTCTTCCATTACATTGTAGACAAGAGACAAGTCTACCAGACTCTGCCATCCGATATCTTCGAGGCCATAGAGCACACGCCAGCAAGCCTTAGCTTCTCGCAGTTTCCAGGTGGAATTGCTGAAGAATGACGCAGCATCAAGGAATATTTCCTTCTCCTGACTACCCAAACGGTCGTAGGACACTCTCAATTGCGCCCACAACTTCTTATCTAGACCCACTACGTCCTCTGCTTCAACCAGAGCTTGGAAACACTGTATCCATATGCTTTCACTGACTTGCGTCTTTAGATACGTGCCTATCGCCTCTAGGGTTAATGGTAGTCCATCACATTTCGCGACGATCTTGGGTACCCATTTGTTCAGTGATGGATTCGGTTTGGTCGGATACGGAAATGCGTAGCTCATAAATAACTTTGTGGAGCTCTCGGGATTCAAGAATTTCACATCAAACACGCGTGAATCTAAACTGTTCAAAATGTTTCTATCTCTACAGGTAACAATGTAACGACTGTTTGCGCAATCGTTCTTCGAAACTATGTCCTGGAGAAATGCAACATGACTACCATTGTCAATGTCATCCAGAACAAGGAGAAGTGTTTGCTGTCTCAAATCAGTCGGATTCCATTTTTCCACTCCTTGTGTAAGCTGTTTGCCAAGATGATGCATCGAGGAATACACTTTGTCTTCTATCTCCTTGGTATTTTTCATGTCCGTACATCTCGGAACGAAACAAGTGTATTCATATTCAGCACACAACTCATTGAACAACAACTTTGCGAGAGTTGTTTTCCCTACTCCTCCCATGCCGCAAAGAGCAACTGCTGCTGGACCTTTGTGTAAAATGTTTTGAACCTCTACAAGTAAGTCAAAATGTAGGCTCATAGCCATTTTCGGCACCGTCTGGAGATTATCAGGAAGTCTTCTCCTGTTCACCTATATCCAATCACAGTAGCCAAACGCAGTTCAGATTTGTAGGTTAGGAAAAATCTCACTCAACTAGAATGAACTCTTGCTTGAAAGCCACAATTTGAAATCTTGTTGACAGGGATCTAGTTATCGACGGACGCTTACAATAAACTCGTGTCGTTTCTTGAACCTACTTTGGCTCTCATACATCTGAAAGAGGATCTCATGGGCTAATCTTTGCTTTTATTGAGGAACAATTGCAATTGCCAAGACAGAGGACATGTTCGTGTGCGCAACCTTATTGCTTTGTAACCTTTGCAGGAACGATGTCAACCGTACGTAAGTATTTGAAGTCCTGCTCTCGGGCTGGCAGAGAGAGATATGATCCTCAAGCTCCACAGTGAAGTCGCCGTACCGAGCTGAAGCCTCAACTACAATCATCTCACGGCTAACTGCAACAGCATTCTGAGACTCTGAATCCTAATTTTCGGAACAGGTTGGAACAAACCGCTTGTCAGACTAGTAATCTGAAAATCTTGTAAGGTGAATGGATTTCCAAAAGTGAAACTGGGATTCGGCAAAACTTCATGAAACCCATCTAGATCTATTGTGAGTGATATCCGAACAATCTCATAAGAGTACTGGGTTTCAAAATATGATATTTTGTTGCAGAATTAATCCTGCTGTTTCAGCAGGTTAGAAACAAGAGGATAAAAGTAAAGAACAAACATGTCAGTCTCACACTCACTAGCATGAACGTAGTAGGTCTCGATTCTCCGACTCCAGCAATACTCCACTTGTAGGACAAACGTAAAGCATCAAAATTTTCATGAAGGCGACCTGATTCTGCGCAAAGCAGCTTGACATAGTCGAGTAGAGGGCTAGCGTCCTTTAGTTTTGTTCCATTTGGAGTGAAGAATGATGAAATTCCATGGTGCGGCGTTCCATAGAAGAAAATTCCTGTGACGGAGTTGAGAAAGCGAGCTATTTGTTTGTCAGAGCGGTGCAAGCTTTCGCTGAAGTATGCGTGAACGCACAATTGTTTGATCACAAGGCCTCCGTAACTATGACCGACGAGTATAACTGGACGCCAAGGATGCTGCCCCACCTTCGCAAATATAAGATTATGCATCAAACTTTCGGCTGTGAGGTAGAGGTCTAATCTTCCATGCTCTGCTGATGTCCTGATAGAAGCATCGTACTGGACAGAGAGAATCCGAGCTCCCGGAAACTCTTGCGGGATCCAGGTCTGCGGCCATACTTCCTTGTGAGAACCGCTTGATATCCATGTTGATAAGTGAGGTACAGAGGTGTGTGACGATTGTAGGCCGTGAAAGAATACAACGTCCAGCACCGATTCAACTCCTGGGTTGTAAAGTTCGTACACGGAGTCGCTTAACTGATACATCAGATGCAGATCAGATCAGCAATCAAACAACCAGGACCGATCTTCCCTAATGCAGCTCTGAGATTCTTAGATTTCAAGACAAAATTGGATATAGCGCAAACACGTTCCAGAACTGCTAAACCCTAAACTGCTATACTGTACTTTGCATAGATTATTGCGATTTCCTTACCCTCGAAGTGGAAGTGGCCGAACACGCAGGGGGCAGAGACATTGTATTTAACTTGCGTAATCGACGCCCGCCCGCTCTAGAAGCACGATAGAGAGCATGCGATATATTTGATTCTCCTCCTCGTCAGTAGAGAAACGCTAATACAAGTGCACGAAAATCACATTCATCAGACGGAGCTTTGTGATGTCGCTCAATTGAAATCCTCAATCCCTCCAGACCATCCCATATGTGCAAGCAGAAATTGCCTTCTCTGCTAGAGTCTTTCTTGTGTGGGTGAGTTTCTGAGTTTCCTCGGGAAGCCTTTTGGGCCAATGGTACGCGGTCCAGCTCACATAGACCAGTGAGCTTCAAAACCGTGCGTGGAATCGCGGAGTATCTTTTGACTTTTGAGTCATTCTCAGAAGGTTCTCGTTTGACTTTCCTATATTCAATAATTATGTACAAGAGTTAAACTTTTTAGCCTCGGGCAGCACACAGTCAAGGATCTTTAAAGTGGACTTGAAGATTGCCTTATCTTGCTTTCTCCGAAGTTCTCCAGCCGAGTGAATTCTGTGTAAAGAAGAAAGTGAAGCGGCAGCAAAGCACGCGGATTATGGTGCGGAAAGGTCAAAAGGTGAAAACTGCAATTGCAGGAACAGCCGACAGGCTCGTGCACAGGAACAGGTCGGCTGCCTGCTAAATCCTCAAGCACTGTACCGATAATAGTCCGAGGCAATTTGACTCGATCGTATCGTTTCGTTCTTGTCAAACCAAATCCTTGTGTAACTACACAAGGATTTGAATTCCTTCAACGAATGACCTTGAATTCATTCTCCATTTACTGACAGATATCTGTGTACTCATGTGCACATGACAATTCCATGTCGGCAACTGTTGTCTGGGGGGATGAAGGACTTGCTCTGGTGTATGAGTCATGGTACAAAACACGACGCACTCGAACTTGGATGATTGCACCTGGGAATCTTGAAGCAGAAGGGCGTAAGCTTTTTGGTCGCTCATCAGAAGATGTCTACGGAGATCCTGGTTCACCCATGCTTCGCAGAACTTCTCTTGGAACGTACGTTCTTGCAGGTGTCAAAGACGCTGATGGCAAGAAGAGGCTGCTCCTGAATGGAAGTGGCGCGACCCCACATGGCAATATCCCTTTCTTGGATCTGCTGGAAATGTAAGAATAATATAAAATTTCATCATTGCTTAGGCCTTTGTCGCCTTCATGCTCATTCATGTAACAAGCCTGCTAGGAGAATTGTGAGTTCCTCCACCAGGGCTTTCTGATCTTTGCAGTCCAGTTATATCGGAGCCTCCGTTACGAACAGGGGACTTACCTTCGATACTTTTCTCACTTGTTTCAGTTGGTGGCTACTATCCTTACTATGTACGCTTTCCCCTCTGGTTCTAGTGTGGGCATCCAAGGCTTGACTGCAAGAAAGTAATAATTAAAACTCAGCGGTCCTATGATTTCTAAGTTCTCGTTGGTTTGGCAGCGAGTCAGGTGAAAAACAGCGAATCTGGGAAAGCTTGAAGGAGACTTATTTCGAGACAGTCGTAGCTTTGATGTCAGATCAGTTGGATGGAGATCTGGACCTGAACAAGTTACGTATTTTGGTCTCAAAGGAATCTCAAACCGAACCACCTCAGTATTATCTGCGATCCTGGCCTGAGCAAACTGTCTGTCAAATTACAGACTTCTCTCATCCGTATCCTCAAATAGCTAATCTGAAGAAGGAGATTACACGATGCGAACGGAGCGATGGTGTGCAACTTACAGCAAATTTGTATTTACCTCCAGCGTATGACCCGGCTACTGATGGGCCACTGCCACTGCTAATGTGGGCATACCCAAGGGAATTCAAGAGCAAAGATAACGCTGGCCAGATGAGAGGATCACCTTATAGTTTTGCAAGCATTGGATCTACTTCAGCATTGTTGTGGTTGGCTAGAAGGTAAGCAAGCCTAAGTGGTGAAGGCAGCAACAGAGGAAACTTTCTATGCTGTGGAATCCTTGGTTTTGTATTCTCATGTGCTTGAAATAATGTTTTCTGTTTGTTTCGGGTAGATTTGCTATTCCGGATGGTCCGACCATGCCCATCATTGGCGAAGGAGACGAGGAGGCCAATGACAGGTGAAATTCATCTTGTTTAGAGAATGGATGGCATAGTTTTACACGATTACCTGATTTTCAATAAGTAACGCAATTGGTTCTCGTGGAAACCATGTTTTCAAATCAACCATAGTGTATATTTAACTATCACAAGTCATAGTTCGTACATGTTCAGTAAGCTAGATGGTGTTTAGGTAATTCATATTCTGCTCAGGTTATGCCACTCTTGATTCTGCAATGAACTGCAGCATACCCAGAGATGTATGTCATTCTCTTGCTGAAGGAATAATCTCAAGAATGATTTGGATATTGTGAAGTAAATATGGAGCCTTTGTGCTTGACTGCAGGTACGTGGTCTATCGTAATTTACTCGCAATTGTTCGCTTAGTGACGCTGCATATCATTTACCTTCAGCCGGAGCCCCGATGTCACAAGGTATTTCAGTCCTCCAACCATGAAAGGAAGACAAATCGGCACTCGGATCTCGCTAATATCGGTTAGACGGCCACAGTGGAGGTGGTTCCTCATCTGAGTCAAAATTGATTGTGCTGATCTCAGAGTACTTGCGAAACCGACGCGATGACATCAGAGACGGAAGTAAGTACTTGCGTGCGTGCGTGCGCGCGCTATCATTCGAAAAGATTCACTTCGGCCCCGAGCCTGGTATGGTGGTATAGGATAACGGGCTGAGTGTATATGAGGAAGGGGCTGTCCAGAGCAAGAACGCAAGAACTTGTAAAGCAGACGCACCGAGTGAAGAGAAGAATGCACAGATTTTCCAATGCGAGCATTGGAAAATCTGCTGCAGATCAGAGTGCAGGACTCGATGCTGGAGAGGTAGGCAGGCAGGCAGGCAGACGTGCGCAGCATTTCTATTCTCACGTAATAGAAATTCCATGGCGGATTGTAGCCACCTCGTGCATGTAGGGCGTGGACCCTGAGCCTGAGCCTGAGCCGCGGCATTCTTCATGTCGCTTTCGATGGACTGGCTGATTTGTTGGGCCCTCTGGTCATGAACAAACTGTAAGTTCACTCGTTGGACCCGAATCAGGGACAGTGATGATGAATAAATGCCGAGACGAGACGGACTCGGGAGAGAACTGTATGAGCTCACCCAGCTGACCGGCTTCGGGACTTTCTGCCACAAGCGTGCTTCAGCTCTCTCCCTCTCTCTCTTCGTGACGCCGTCACATGGACATAAAGGCCATAAGAGTTTCCAGAGTTGGTGGCGTGTCTGGCACAAGTCATGCACTGAGGGAGGGAGGATGTTGTTCCAGTGATAGTCCAATCCAATTCATGGCCGGGTGTGTACAAGGGAAATGTATGCCTTTCCCAAATGTGTGCATGCGTGTGTCTACTACCAACTAAATATGGTACCAGTCGAGTACCAAAGTGCGATGCGATTGATTCCATCATCCCTTGAACTAAGGTGATGGCAATTCAGTCAGCCCATGCCTCGAGTCGAAGTGGAGGAACTGCAGGCAGCTCTTGATATGGCCCAGGATCTCCCACGAGTAAGAGCAATCATGTTTGATGAAGTGCAGATTTAGGGTCTTTGTCTGAAAACCAAATCCCGAGGATTTACAGCTATCGTCATTTCTTTGCGAGTTTTTATAAGAGACGGAAGTGTTCTGGTCAGAACGCAGCAATGACATTATCTTGATCGCAGACATTGGTTCAGGTCCCGAATTTGATGCAGCTGCATGCACTGGTGGAACGGCTGAAGAACGTGGGGAAGTGCTTGAAGTGGGAGTAACTCAGTATGGAGATCTACATCTTCAAGTTTTGAATACTTTAGTGTCGATTGGTTCCGAGTTTCCAAATCTTCGCGTGCTCGGAGTTCGAGGTGAGATAGCGTGTTTCTTCAACTTCTTCTACATGCTTTTTGGTTGCTTCTGCCTCCAGCAGTTTTTGTACGTCAATTCACCTCGAGTTATTGTTGCAATACACATTGAGAGGCCTGCGAATTGCTGTTTCGTTCTTGTCCTCTTTATACTTTCTTCTGATATTCGGAACCACCTTATCGTACTCAAGAAGTAACTCCTTTACTTTACTCAGCTGAGGAATTCATTGTTCCATTTAGCCTTCCCATGGTGCATCGTGAAGGGTCCCTCTAGTAAGTGAAGGTCACTTTATGGACCCTTCACTTAATGGAAAAAGACGATTGTGGTGCATTCCAGAAGCCGGAGAAACGTCATTGAAAACTAAAAATAAAATTTCATCACGGGCTTCTGAACCTTCAGCAGAAAAGGTTTATCGTTTATTAAACCAACATCAGTACGAGAATAACGTCTTTGGAATACGTGGAGTATCACTCACGCACGACAGAATTTCCAAGCAAATGTTCTGACAAGCATTTTTGACTTTATTTTGCAGTTGATGGTAATTCCATAGACGCGACCTTGAACTCTTCAGGACGCCTTCGGGATGCCTTAGACAAGTCATTAGCTTCTGTGGTGGTATGTACCTTCTGGTGTGCGTCAGAGCTTACCACCTAAGAGATTTTTGCTAGTCATGAATGAAGTTTTTGCTTTTTCCAAATTTCCGAACTGTTGCGTATTTCTTGCTCCGAATTGCTGGATAAACGAACTCATCTGTCTGTGATTTGTTCGTAAGAGATTCCTTAACTTGGCTTTTATGTACAACGCTTTTCAGAAAGTCGACGTTAAGCAGTTCGTCAAGAGTTTGCAGTGTCATCACACCAAGCCTGATGCATCTTTCTGTGGTAAGTCTCCAGTGTTATGTGGACCATGATTATGCTGACTCCTAGTAAATGAAGGGTGTGTATGAATCAAGAGCAACTTTCAGCCTTTTTCAAACTCGCGTTATTTTCTAGTTTTCCTCGACCCATGACCGTCGGCATATTGTTTGTGCAGGAATTGCTCCGAATGATGGCTGCTTGTTGATTATGCTCCAATATTTCATTCCTGGAACGAGGCAGACTGATAACTCTATCAGCCTGCATTACAGATTGCCCGTGCTTTTAGATGGTGCAAACTAGCTCTTATATGTGGAGAATGCCCATAACAAATGATTTAGACAGGGCATGATACCAGTCAATCTTGATTGTGAATCGAATGTAAATATCCGCCATAATACATTTTTTTGAACTGCTTTGTTTTGCTCGCTCAAAATGATGGTGTACCTGGTTTTTGTCTCATGGAATCCTTGTTA